AATGAAGGTTGGTACATACGGCGACAATTGCTTCTTTCTTGAAATTTTAGAGGGAGCATGTAATTTTAAAGCAATTTATTTGGATAGAACAACACAGTTGAAGGTAGAAGATTCGTGGCTATCAGTGTTGGTGAGAAAAATATTTACAATTTTTCGCTCGAAACCTCATTTTTTCAGTACTAGCTGCATATTTTTTTATTTTTTTTATTTAGGAATTTGTGCAAAGCAGTACCGGAGCAAAAACAACAGGACATAAGTTCCCTACTAGGTTGTTTATAAAGCTGATTGCTGGAATTGTGACGAGTTCTACATTGGCAAAACAAAACGAAGACTCCATGACAGGAAAACAGAACTTTTTAAGGCCCTAGCTAAAAGTGACCATTCATCAGCCATTGCTGGTCATGTGAAGACAACTGGTCACAACATTAAATGCGGGATCATTTTGACATTTTAGCGTCAGGAAAAACTGACTTTCATTGTAAAATTAAAGAGACGTTCTTCATTCAAGAGCTAAAGCCTTCCCTTCATGTCAATGTTAGTAGTGAGAAGTTGTTGGTTTTTTAGCCAGTACTTCTCATTGGTCTAGACATGTACTGCTGTAGATTCTTTTCGTCTCAGTCTAGGTTCCAGACCTCTTACATTCACTATATATAGTTTTCAACAATTGTAACGGTTCACTTTTGAAATTATATGTTGACTAGCATACGAAACGTCAAGTTCTATATAAAATGCATTGGAATGCAATTTTTATCACCGCTGTTTGTCCTATTTTCTTAATCAAGCTACGATGGCCTAAGAACAAGAGTTTAAGCATATCAAGCGACTCGCGCAGATTATTTGTTGGAGTAGCTCCCCAATAACTCAAGTGAAGCTTTCAAAAATCGGTGAAATTTTACACATGTTGAAACGATTTCAGATTATTCAGCACAGTCAGAGTAAACGCTCGCGAGATGCATGAATTACACGCACACGTTTGGAATTGAGGGCGTGTCTCGTGCGTTATGAAAACTTGTCGCGCCTGATGCCTACTGAACTTCACTAACGGTATGTTTACTAACACACTAATCTTTTACCACATTTCGATCTAATAGTTGAGGATTCCGAAGTTAAGCTAACAGCTAAACTAGCAAAAGTACTCGACGAAGGGATGAGGAATGACAATAATGGCAGCAAACCTGATCCAGAAGATAAGAAAGAGTTAAAAGCATTGCAGGATATAGTTGAATCGGTAAGATTTGGTTACAAGAACAAATCTGCAAGCCTTGAGAAAGACTGGCTGCTTTTGTATGGCCAGCTTTTATGTCACTTTGTTTCTCTGGAAAACAAAGGAAATAAGCAGCATCATTTTGGTAGAAATGGAATATTCAACAACATCCAATACCCCAGGAGGACTCTAACTCGTTCTGCAGTTTCATTTTTGATTCATAAAGTAGTTGAGTATGATACAAACTGACCAGTTTCATTCACAAAGATCCAAGCTTCCTCTGACTTTAAAATACTCTTCAATAACGAAATGCTTTATCATTGAATTATCAAAATATTTTTCATCACTTACATATTTTTATTTCTTTGTAATTTCAACTTCATTTCATCATTCCTGTGCTGAAAGAAGCCGAAAATTTTAAAGAAGAGCAAAGCGAGAGTGAGTTGGCTACGAGAGAAAACTGTATCTGGACTGTCATCTCAGGCCCAGTTTAGACGTGGTACGCCTGCCGCGACGAACTTAATTCAGAAATTAATTGTGCGACAAAACTTCGACAAAAGTCGTGCCTCCTATTTTGGGGGGATTGCGTTCTCGCGGGAAATTACGCGAACGAATGGATACTTTGCCTCAGTAAATCCTAATTTTGTATGACACTAGCCCGATGATATGTCAGAATCAGGGTCGTGTTTCTACCGTGCCAAAGTCGAACTGAACCTAATTACATGACTTGACGTATTTCCTGACAATTAATAGTAATTAGTTTCGTAGGGCCACAACGCTCATTTCCTTGTGAAAGTGGCAAAACTGCCTAAGTTAGAAGGCAATATCGCTAATTACTGTGTTGATAGGAAATAAAACACTGAAATGCACCGAGCAATAAAGGATCCAGTTGAGAAATTAAAGTTGTACGGATGGAAATGGCAAACCGCTGGCGTAGCTTGTAATTTATAGTGGTGTTTACACTTAGGTATCGAAAGGGTATTCCTCTTTAATGTAGAGTGTTTGATTTTGTGCCTTTTAGAATACGTCCGTGGGTTATTTGAACTGCTTAAAGAGGAACCCGATTCTAAAAAGTTCATGAGCGTTCTCGGCCGAGCTGCTCTGGAACTGCTCGGAAAGTGCCATGATATTCAGCAACAGTTTTTGTCACATGCAAATAAGACAGGTTTGTTATCCTCCGTTTAGACGGACACCTAATATGTTCCCTGGACAGTAAATTTTTATTTTAGGAAATGAGGCCTTAATTAAACCACTCATTGATAATTTTCTTTTTTATTTATTTCTTTATTTATTTTTTGGCCAATTCTGGGAGAAAAGAGTGGTTTTGACCGGTACGGCTGACTTGGTTTGTCAGCTGCTTGGTTGAATGACGAACGGCAGACTGACGGAATGACTGACGAACCAATCGATCGATTGTTTCATCGACTGACTGACTCATGAACAACAGACCGGACAACCCACGGACTGATTAACCAAATGATTCATGGGCTGTCTGACTGACGAATGAAGTAGTGATCAATCTACGAGTTGAGCCGGTCACTGACCAACTCACCCATGGACTGACTGACTAAATGATTAATTGATTAATAGACCGATCGACCGCATTTATTATCAAATTCGTAACAACTGAAGTCGGGAGAAAATTCCATGTCAAAGTAAGCGGGTTCACTTTGTTTCCATCCATCAGGGCTGTTTCAAAACTTGCGACAGGCTTACGATGATGATGACTTGGATGAAGCTGAAACCGATCGGATGAAAGTGATGCTTTGGGTAAGAATTCGAATTTTCATCTACATCAAACCTCGCATGAAAACAGATAACGAAGCTCAGAGTCGATCTTCGTAAATTGAAGACTTTCAACTTTTTCATGTGAAACGTAAGATTCGAAAGTAGCAAGAGCCTCCTTCTCAATGAAACAGGTTCATCAATTTCTAAAACTGTAACGTACAGCTATTAGACTGTTGCCAGCAAGAATGGATGATTTGTTTGACCGTTTTGAAAGCATTTGTAAATAGCCCTAACCTTTGATTTCCGACCCTAATCTCGTTAGTAACTCTTCTCACTATCTGTCAAACTATTCTTATAATAATTTGAATATATCAAAAAAGTTGAAATGGTAATAAATTGGCCACCGTTACGATTATAAAAACTGACGTTTCGAGCGTTAGCCCTTCGTCGGAGCACAAGTATTCGTTAAAAATTTAATTCTAGATAAGAAATGCTTTACAGAAGAAGGCAAATATTTGTTTGTTCATTAGTAAAGTCGTCCCAGAGAACGCTCAAAAGAAACATCCACGTAAGACCAACGCAGCAAGTAGTGAGCTGTTCGTAAACATTTTTCACGCATGTTGCAAAATATTTGAAGAATAATAAACACGATGGCCTCTATTTTCGAATAAGTAAAGATTTGGTAAAACATTTGACAATGAAAAACTGCGATAAAATATTATAAAGCATGACACGACGTTTCGACGTTTCCAGAACGTCATTATCAAGTAAACTAAAATAATAAAATCGAGCATATATATNTAGCTCTCGTGGTGAACAGATCAAGGCCAAGGCATTTATGGCTCATAAGCAGTACCGATGAATATGCGTTCAAGCTAGTTGGTGGGTGATAAGGTCCTTGAAGATCTGAAAAAAGCCTTGCTGATTGGGTTGTCACTGAAGAAGCGATTGCTGAAGTAAGGCCAAAAGTCACCGAAGAAGTTTACCCCGCCCAACTTGAGGCATGATGGACGAATGAAATATATCTTATTAACCAAGCGCGAGGGTCGTACTGGGAGAATATCGGTCCGAGGTCTTGACAGTACGGACTGAGCGCAGCGAGGTCCGTACAAAAAAGACCGAGGGCCGATATTCTTCCAGTACGGTCTCGAGCAAGCTTGGTTAATAAGAGATTTATTATCCGACTGAAGTTCAAAGGGACACACGCGCGGTATCATTCGGGACAGTGCCCGGTCCAATACTGAGAGAATATTGACCGGCAATAGAGCATTTTGATTGGTTGATTTTAGTTATTGGCCCTCTGACTGCCCGAGTCGTGTAATAAATTACTTTACTGACTTACTGACGAAGGGATACGAAAAAATGTTGCCACTGAAATAAAACAGTTGTTCAATTGATCACGTGTATAATGTAAATGAACATTTGGAAATTTTCACCCCTTTTCCACTTCGAGTACATTTTTTGGGGAGGACAAGTTTTGTTTACAGTTCTCTCATTCTATTACTGAGTTTCTTGTTCGAGTGTTGGATATCTTAATCAGTCAGGAAAGCAGACAAGTACTCTTTGCCACGAAAATAATTTCGCACATTAGGTGAAGTTTTGTCTCTCGTTATCCTTTATCGAGATAAAAACGGTCGTATTTAACATAAAAAAATAAACTACAATCAACACCTATAGAGCTTGGAGTGGTTTCATTAGGAAGGTTGTTGATGGTTTATACTCCTTAGAGTGGCAAGGAGAAGGATAGACCAGGGGTGCTACAATTTAAGTCCTTGAGAAACAAATCTTAGAATTCAGGTATGCGAAAACACGCGGATCCGAAGAATCTACTAGATACTCAATAATGGCTAGTCATTCCCGTCCCATGTCTACGCTAATCTTCAAAGTCCACTTCTAATTACTAGGTAATAGAAACAAATGGAAAAAAGAAATGGCTTCGAAGACGAATTTTTCCACCTTTGTGACGTTTAGCTGTCAGTGCTAATACGCGTTCTACAAAACATCGGCTCTCCGCACTACTTATATAAATATTAACTAATTTGCCTAGGAGTCTGTGATAAACTCTGCACAGTGCTAGAGGACCACATAATATGGTGAGCAGTCAAGTCTTTACTGGCACCTTTACCCTCGGTGTGCTTAACGTCAGTATGTATATTCTCCATACTGTTCTCTATACATTTCCTAAGGTGCTGACAAGGAGAATTTGTAGAACAATCAAGGGCTTCTTTAGTTTGTGATCATTTTCTTTCTTCTCGTGACTCTAATGTTTAGAATGAGAAATTAGACGCTAGGGGTTAACGGCGTGTCACCACTTCCTTTAAACTAGATCTTGTTGCAAAGAAACATCTTGGCGATTCAAGGTCTTGCCGTCATCTTTTCGTTACACCACATCGAGTCCGTTCACATCCAAAGCGCGACAAATGTCCTTAATAAACACTACCGGGCGATTATTGTTCTAGGTGTTTTCGTCCCCGTCTTTCATGTACTTCTCTTGAATTGCTGCTGTCCTATAAGATTGAACACAGCCAAAACGTTATTTCATTTGGTTAATGACGAATCTGTAAAGACAGATGGGTAACTAAGGGTTCCCACATCTGTAACCCTGGGGGTGTGCAGCTTCCCTGGGGGTGTGCAGCTTCCCTGGGGATGTGCAGCTTGCCTGGGAGTGTGCAGCTTCCCTGGGGGTGTGCAGCTTCCCTGGGGGCGTGCAGCTTCCCTGTGTGCGATGTCATAGGGTATACCCTTAGGTATACCTTGTTAAAGGGTATTAACTTTATCTTTAATTAAGATGTTCCAAATAAACGTAACTGATGTTATTGAATTTTTTTTTACAAAAAACTTTTTCAGTAAAGGAAATTGTCACAAAAGAAGCATTAAAGTTTTCAAATTGGAGAAATTCACGTGACTTAGTCAAACAAAGACAAGATTAATTGAGATATTTATAGGGCCACATGTATTTAAACACCAAGTGTAAAAGGTCTTGACACAAACAATGACCTTGAATTTGCCCCAAAAAGGAAAGTGGAAGACCCAGCTACCAGTCTCAAACCTAATAAAACAAATGAAGTAATTTGAAGGAATAGATAAAGAAGAAACAAATAACAACTTGTACAAATTACATTTGACATTGCTCAGGTGAATTACCTAAAAAATTCAAAATCTGTTCCTACAGCAGAAGACATCAGCTGACTGAAGTTCCCTCGGTCATCCTCCAGTTCACCAAAAGCATAACCGTTAGCCTGATCAATAGATTTGGTCACCTGATGCATACTCTCTTTTGACTATTAAAACAGAAATGAGAAATATGTTTAATCCACTGATTTCCTAACCTTCAGCATAAAAAAGTAAAAAAAGAACAAATTACGTTTGAATGTGCCTAAGATTTTGCAATTGAATGAACGATTGTCAAGAATAATCTGAGATTGCAGCGATTACACTTAGCAGTACTCAGTAATTGGTCAATAATACACATGCCACCTTTTTGACCAATCAGATACATCAAAAAAGCAAAACAAGACTTAATTTGACACACTTTCCCCTGCCACTTAATGTGGGATTGCTTTATGCTGCTTGTTCTACAAGATTACTTTGCACAAAGAGATCAAATGACAACAAAAACAAACCTTCAAGTATATGACTGGTTTATTTCCACAAGTATTTCAACAATCACCTGTATATCTAGTGTTTTAAAAGACACCAGGCCATAATCCTCAACTAAACCCACTAATGCTTCATTCAGCTTTTTGTACTTTTGAGTAAATGGATCATCCTTGATGTGATCCAGGAGAAAATTCAGATCCAAAACATCTGTGTAAAAGTCTAAATTGAATGCTAAAAAGAAATAAAAATAATTGAAGTCAACAGTAAAATTCCAGAAAAAATCTCTAGCTTATTTCATTTCCAATGGATTCTTTCTTTACTCCCTTGTTAAAGATGAAACATAATAACTAAAAGTAACAAAACCAAGGACAATTGATACATTGGTCCATTTTTCTGGTAATGACATTTTACACCTCACCCCAAATTAAAACAGAAAAATCAAAGCCAGATCAATCTGAGTGTTTACAGCATTTAACTCCCTTTTCCTATGCCCTCACTACGTTCGTCTGCAGGAAAAATATTTTCCTTCTCCAGAACGCTGATTCATACAAATAGACACAAACTATAAGGCAAGCAGAGTGAGAGCACTTGCCTGCCACGCTGATGTATACTGAGAGCTATACTTCTAATCATTTAAAACTTTGTCTAAAATCCCATTCAAATGTATTTTAATCAATAACTACAGGTCTTACTGGCCAACAGTGGCCTATAACTGCCACTGCTTTACAATGGCTTTCGTATTTTGAATTCTCTTGGACTGGATACTAATCACAGGTCTCCCCTCCTTCCCCCTGACAGGTTGGCAGTGGTACCCATCTATACTCCTGAGCAGAGAGATGCACAGAGGGAGTAAGGTGTCTTGCCCAACAAAAGACCACAGAATGACCAACATTTCATGTATCACATAAAAATTCAATCACCTAGTTTTCCATAGTGTTCTACCAGATCAATCTTGGACAGGACATTCACATGAGGAAGCTCAACATGAATCATGGTCGACAAGGATGTAAGAAGAACAGAAATAAACTTTGTTGGATCGCTACAATGATGTGAATCAACAAGATGGACTGCAGCCAGCTGTGGAATAATAAATATGAAGTATTCAATGCAAATCACTTAAAAATGATTAGCTGTCGATTCATGTAAGTTCTGAAGATCCCCAGTTACTCAAACAAGGAGGAACACTTACAGTGTAAGCATCAAACTGCATAATTATCTAATTTGAAAATAAAAAGAGCTCAGAAAAATGACAGAACTTGAGGAGAAGTCATGCAATGCAAAGGCAATTTCGCCCTGGGAAATATATGGTAAAAAAGGAAAAATTGCACGTGCATCTGCCATACTCTGCAGATAGGGGTGGAGTAGAGGGAGGAGAGGGGATCTTGGGACACAAGTTCTTCTTCTTAAATAAGACAAATAATTAATATGGCCCCCCTTTGCAAGACTAATAAATGTAGATGTAGAATATGACGATAAAAGATTTCTAGCTTACGACCTAAATGTTCCTAATTTATCTAAATTGAGCGCTTCTGCCTTACTAGGCTTCTGGTTGGGCGCCTAAGTAGAACAGCATGTGGAAAAAGAAAACCCTTAAAAATCACTTACTCTGAAGTCCCACTTTTCAAGCTGCCTGACTACATTTCTCACAGATGTATGATGAGTGTACAATTCAACTTGGCCTGGGCAGTCGAACAAGAAGTAATATCCTTTAAGATCTTTCAGCTTTCTCTCCAGCCAGTCAAGATTTTTTTCGAGATATTCGATGCAATAGATAAGCCCACCATTTGGACCAAGCTTAAGATTCTCCATCACGTCATCGAGAGTGATGAGAGTGGAAATGTCTATGGCACATTTATAGCCCAGCGAATCGTTCGCAGGATCGAGATTGACAACAGCCACTTTTCGACCCAAGTTTGTTAAAAATTCGCTCATCCCAGCACAAAATGTGCTTTTTCCAGAGCCCGGTGGCCCTATGATAATCTGACCAAACGATGGCATTTTGGAAAAAAAAAGTAAAATTAACCATGAACGCAGAAGTGTGAATCTTCACAGACGTCCGCCATGTTTAGCACCCAAAATCTCTCGGTTGTAATTTGGGTCTTAGTCTCTCTCAATCGCTGAGCTACTGTAGGTCGTCTCTTCGTACAAAAGGTACGTGTGAATCAGTAGTGAAGTAAGTCCCCTTCGAATAGTTTTTTTAAATCACTTCTTTTACCGCCAGGGTAACCAAAAGTTAATGCTGACAAAAAATGAAGTAATAGCTCGTAATGAAAAAATTTGCAATTGCCATAACCGTTTACGACGCGTTTTCAACTAGCCTGTTTGGACAAACTGAAGCACCAACGCTCCAAGCAATTATTAGCGTCGACGTCTTACGTAAAATTCCCTTATCATCGCCCGTCGAAGTCTTCGTCATACATGTTGGCCCAGCTGATGGTGGATGAAATCTCGATTTGGATTTTACTAAGTTGTTTGGGTAAGAGTTCCAGGCCTTTAAGAAGATATCAGAAGAAGCTAATTACTTATTTCACGATGGCTGGTTGCTTTCTGTTGAAATTCATTATTCAGTGTTGATAATTATGAACTGATAAAGTGATGTCAAAAACTAAAAACGAGAGCAGGGGCTTCAACAATTTCGCAAATTCTAATCTAATTTTACATGAAATAGAAGGGATATCTCATATTCACAAAAAATGCAACTATCTTCACAGTTTTGTACATAGGGCTCTAAGGTTGCTGACGCTTGACGTTTGCTGTTCATGGAAAAAAATTGATCTAAAAAAGTTGAATGGGTCCGTGGACTACCTTTAGTTCAGTTCCAGTCCCCTTTCGGTCGAGAGTCGATCATGATTAAAGGGGGGTGGAAAAGGGGGAGGACAGACTAGAGTGGCTATTAGTTCCTTTCTATACTATCAGTAACAGAGTGGCTGCATTTCTAACAGGAGGGAAATAGTATTCAACTGACACAAAAGCATTCTTATTCAAGCCAGAATCAAACTGTGACATTTATTATGTTTTTGTAAATATATTAAGTATTCCACATTTGTCTACACAAAAATAAAAACGTGGCTATTTCTCCTGTTTGATAAAATAGTTTATCGGTGAAATGATCTGCTTTCTTCAACAAAATTTAAATACTTCTGTCTATAAACTACATCTGAGCGAAATGTTTGGGATAAGTGTCTGGATTTCTACATGATTATTCACGAAAAGCTTCAAAGACCCAGTGTAATTCATTTTAAAGAAGAGAGAGTAATAAATGAAAAGCAGTTTTCAAGAAAAGTCAAAAGAGGAACCCACAAAACCGTGTAGATAGCGTTATTTCCATAATCAAACACATTGCGAAGGTCAAGTAACACCTCAAGACTAGAGAATATTTTTCAGAGCAAACAAATACTTGATTTCTCATGTCTTTGAAAACCGCTTCAACCGATAAATAAATAAATAGTAGGAAACGAGGAAAAGTGCACAAACGTAAATGCATTAAGAAAAACTACATAGGTGAAACGTTTTCGTAAATGGCTTGAAATTAGGTACTAAAGGAAGTTTGGAATTAGTTGGGTGTCCAAGGTGTCGAAAACGTAAAAAGGAAAGGAAAAACAGAATTTATCATAAACACTGTTTGGATGATCATCGAGCATCGTAGGAGGCGGCGTATTACTCAAAATTAAAGTTCGATTTGCGTCGTCCACCACCATTACGAAGATCCCAGATCCTGGGAGAGAGATTTCCGTTCCCTCTCAAAGATGATGATCCAACATTACCGAGATCTAAAAAAAAACAAACAAATGTAATTCTATTACACCGACTTCTCCTATTCCCACTTCACGTGGTGCATTCTATGCGGGTGTTGTACTCGGATGGGAGGTGTAGCCGTAAGGGGAGAAGCACCCCCCTAACCACAAAATGTAATACGGAAACTTACGATGAAAAATTAAGTTAGGTGTGCCCCACCCCCACCAGAAACCAGTAAGACTTTAGAGCAGGACCTCTTACCTAACCCCCCAACTAATCCCTTCCCTACCCCCTGCCCGTTCCTTCTTCCTCCTCCCCGTTCGCTGCCTCTTGCACATCATTACAGTTCACAAACCTATTGACAGGGTGTTGGGAACGAACGACGTGGGTCGTCGTTTCTTAGCTTGCCCACGAGCCACTTGCCGAGCACGTGACCCAAATCCAAGACACTGTAGAGTTTCTGTGATAAAACGCTGGGCAGGAGAACAGCAGAGCATGACAAGAAGCTTAGCGTCACCACCTGACAAGAGCAAATGAGCATGCGTTAGTGAATGTACGTTAGAGAATGAGTCTTCGAGGGACTGGACCGGACAAATTGCGAAATCCCACCCCAGGTGGCTGTAGAACTACTGAAGCAGTTACAAAATTGTATCAAACATTGCATTCATATTGGGCTCAGGTTCCTTGAGCAAGAAATTCAGGTGAGGGGCCAATGCCCAACGAAAGGAAAAAAAGAGTGCACTGACAAAAAAGGAGTGAGCAATATTCATCACCATAAGCCATGCAATCATCTATTAGAGAAGAAAAAATAAAGTTGTCAAACTGGGCCTCTGAAGGAGAGTAGAAGCTCTCAATCAATCAATCAATCAATCAATCAATACTTTGTTTACCCACGTAGCGTCAAGGAGCTCAGTAAAGTTCTTTACGGGAATTTCGAAAGTATTTAAATTGAATGCTCTACCTTGGACTGCCTGTACAAGTGAAGAGTGGACGTTTCAGTGAGTCACAGATTAGGATTAACAGCGTCAGGTGAATAACTATTGCTGATTACAACATAAAACAAGCCTACTCACCTATAGTATCCTGTAACATGTGAGTGAGTCTGGTGTTACGGTAGGGTATGTGAGAACGATGCTCTGACAGCGCCCCTAACACATCGGCCAAGGCACTCAAACTGTTATAACAAACATCAAATATTTCAACGCGAGTTAACTTTGACATTAACTTTGATCGAGATCATGTAGGCATGGGTTGTACATTAATTTATTCTCAGTGTTCTTCCTGAAATGCTTTCCTCAGACTGGGTAGAGACAGTCCCGTCCTTTTGATTAAATTGTGGGAGAGGAAAAGGGTTTGGCTTCAGGATTTTGGAGGGAATCATACAATGCACAGAACTACGCAAATGGCGAAGGAAAAAACTCGAAGGTAAGGGAAACCGCGAGCTTGTATTTCAAATCATACCACTTTGCTACTTCAACAGATAATATTGTTTAAATAATCTCACCAATTTTCATACCCTTGAGGCGGGTAAGCTGAAAAATTGCAAGCAATAAATTTCGGGTTATGGTTTTCAGACCAAGAACAAGTAACTTGCAAAACAACACTTCAATTTATTGTATAAACAACGTAGAGTTAAGAACGCAGCGTTTTGATTGGCAACTGATGAATGAGCGATCTGGGTCAAAAAAGCATAAAATGCAGGTGTCTATGGGACTTAAAGTCAGCACTATCGAGCGATAATTGTCAGTGCAAACTGACAAGGACTTGATGCCCCAGTTACCTTTTGTTGATGTGCGAAGTTTCTCGTAAGGCTACACCGGTTACCCCAGACATTCCTGAAAGCAAATTTAAAAATTGAAAAAAAAAAAAAGTCATAAGGGATAAGAACACAATAACGACTGTTGATGTTTTTGTCTTCCTATGATTGAGAAAAATACCATGAAAATAATTTCAACCCTGATTCTTCCCTCCTCTTACCGACACATTCACTTCCGGCCAAGTCGACGAGCTGAAGCTTGGTTTTCACACTCTGGCTTCCGTTAGTTGAGGAATTAGTGTTCCGGGTTGGAGAAGGAGATCTGGAACGAGCAGCGGCAGCGGTGCCAGGTGCTGGAGACCTGGAGAGAAAAATTTAATCTAGCCGTGAGCTACGCATTACAGAAAGAAAGTCTCTAATGGCAAACGTAAGTTATTTTTGCTTTTTTTTTCTGTTGCGGAAAAAAATTGTTGTGTTAAGTTAAGCATTTTGAGTTAAAATATAAGCATTTGATACAGTTTATTTACAAGATCCACTCAGAGATGCTTTTATTCTTTCAAAAAGTTTTTGCAATTAAGTGTAACATTTGTATACGCATGTAACTACCTCGAACGCCTTGCAGAAGCAGCTTTACTTTTCGGCGCAGGAGACTGGGACCTATTGCTGTTCCCAGCTGATGGCTGGGGCAGAGTTCGTCGTGATCTTGTAGGAGTGCCTGGGGGCGAAGGCGCCGCATCACTCGACGAGGAGGACGTACTTGGTTTTGTCTGAGTGACTGTGTAAATAGTCAACTGTACTATTAAATGGGAACGGCTGGAATGAGCATGAACCATTGTGGCGTCCTCGTGTCTCCGTTGCATACCGTAGTAGACAACCGCCATTACCTCCTGTACAGTCCTCACGGGTCTGAAGGAAGAAATTCGGACGTTGGTATCAAGACTAAAAAACCCATTCGTAATGAGTTCGAATCTTAAGGATGTTAACCTATTCTAAATGGCAAACGCTCGAAACGTCAGCTTTTGTAATCGTTACGGTGGCCAATTTACCATTTCAACTTTGTTGTTATATCCAAATTATTTAGAGAAAGAAAAATCAGTTAGCAGGGGCTCCAAAAAACTTAGTCTGCTCTTCGAAATTTCGCTTCTAGAATATTTTCGCGAAAGGGGGTAGCCACAAATCTTCACTACTATGAAGTTTCGTTTCTTCAGCTGAGTTTTTATGAACCCAGTACTTTCGCAAGTCCACACCATTCTGTTGAATTTCGAGGAAACCAGGCACAAGATTCGTCAGCATTAGTACAGTGTTTCGTACGTTAGTGAGTAAAAAGCACTGTAGTTAAATGTAAACGTAAGAATACTAAGCCTCTTTTACCTGGTTACAAGAGATGGAATCTCGGTTGCTCCTTCACTACTCGTGACAATATCAAGCTGTTAAAAAGAATACGAAAAGATTATCGTTTGGAAGACATGAATCTTCAGTGAGGTCATGCTACTTTGAGCTATTTTTCGCCACCGGCAAAACCATTTCCACCATCAAGAGGCAACATATTATCAGTTCTTCAAGAGAGGAACACAAAAGAGGAGCAATAATGAACAGTAAGGAACAAGGATGGCGAAGGATGGAGAAGATTGAAACGGATCGCTAATAGAGAGATTTAGCAACGCGTTTACGTGCCCTTTCACGTGTCACGTAAACTGAAATAGCGTGAACCTTGCTGCTTTGGCTTCGCGTGAGCTCACGTCATGGTGTATTTGAAGGCGCCCTTGTACGACTGACAAGGAATAGTTTTGGCGCCCTTTTTCCGGCAACTAACTTCTTCTAGGTGAGAGAAAAAGTGAAGAAAATCTTACGTACACGGAAAACGCTGGGTAAGGTAGAAAAACACGAGAGAGGCAGTAACTAAACAGAACTGAAGGAACAGCAAAATAATGACGATCTTGAAAAATACGGGCTTCAAAATTTCTCAAAGACGCCGCGACGCACCGTGACATTCTGTCCAGTTAATGGGAATTATGGAAAGGGTGAAAAGAAACTCATGAAAATAGACACCAAACTTAACGGAATTACTCAACGATAAAACATCTTCAGAAATACATTAATAAAGTTTATGATCACGTTGGAACTTACCCTGGAAGCATTTTTTCCCGCCAGAAGATCGCGAACTTCATTATTGTAAATCTCGCATACAGACATTTCCAACGAGAAGCTCTCTTCAGGATTTTCTCGTTCAGAGATGAGTCTAAAAATTCCACAAAGAGAAATGTTTGTAAATTTGGGAACAGTTTCTTCCTATTGAGGGATACAGCCTGTACAAATTGAAGAGTCTGCCAATGAACATATGTCAGATTCTAAAGATTCCTTTTGTTCGCCATTTGGAACTCTACTACTTACTTGAACATTTCCTTTGCTGATCGTGGAATAATCCCTTCGTCCTTATTCAGGGACTCTGAATCAATCTCCATGTCCAAGTCGTGACTTCCCATCATGGTGTGAGTTTTACCAGAACCTGTTTGACCATATGCCATGATACACACATTGTACCTATCAAACAGACATTTCATTTGTTTTGTTTATAACAGGTGTTACTATTTTAAAATACCTAAAATATATATTCACTGTTCTGCAACAGGCAGAGACAATTCAGAAAATGCCAGAGCATTTAAAAAGGAATTAGGACAAACTGTCAATGGTCACGCAAGGTAATAAACTTGCCCGTCTAACAGAGACGTCAAGCAAAGTAATAAACTTACCCGTCTAACAGAGACGTCACGCAAGGTAATAAACTCACCCGTCTAACAGAGATGTCACGCAAGGTAATAAACTTGCCCGTCTAACAGAGACGTCACGCAAGGTAATAAACTTACCCGTCTAACAGAGACGTCACACAAGGTAATAAACTTACCCGTCTAACAGAGACGTCACGCAAGGTAATAAACTTACCCGTCTAACAAAGACGTCACGCAAGTTAATAAACTTACCCGTCTAACAGAGACGTCACGCAAGGTAATAAACTTACCCGTCTAACAGAGACGTCACGCAAGGTAATAAACTTACCCGTCTAACAGAGACGTCAGCAGAGGTTTCACGTCATCAAATAGCGACTTCTGGTCAGTGTCAGGTCCATAAACTCTTTCAAACTCAAACTCTTTCTTCTGCATCTGGCCACCAACAGGCTTAGCGGGGCGCACAATAAGTTTGTCCTCATCTTGAAGTTCTACAACTCTTTCAGAAGGAGTTCCTGCCACACCGAGCGACTCTTCATCACCAGGGGAGTCCAGGCGACTGATTAAGGGACGCAGTCGGCAGTGCACCCTAATATTGCCTCGCATTTCCTGCAAAGGAAATTTAAACAAAAAAAAACAAAACAGTTGACACCAGCATAAAAAGAATAAAGAGCTGAGTAACCCACAAGGATTTGAACCCCACTCAGCTCCGGTTTTGCAGTCTGATGCCACTGAGTACCAACGAAACTAACGAGAACTCTGGTGAGCCAAGCCATATACTTGGATCATGTATGACAATCAAGGTTCTTTGCATGCTGCTAGGGTCGGTGATTTTGACTGGAAGCATCCTGTACAGACACAGAGCAAGGAAGATGGCGTAATTTGAAAAGAATGCACCAGGACAGTCTATAGCATCTTGAGCTCTATCTCATCCCCTTATCACAAGTCATGTCATTGTGCATATCAATTAAATCTATCTATTGATAAGGAACCCCCCCCCCCAAAAAAAAAAGGGGAAAAAAGGTTCAGGAAGCATAGGAAGAAATTGGAATGGCAAGCCAAAATTTCAAGGAAAAAGGCATTTCTTGGTGCAAAACTTAAACCACTGAGAAACTCAGCTGGTTGTGAAAAGTGCTGATAGTTTCAAAAGAAACTGTTTGGGGCTGCGTCGGTGGGAGTAACAAAATAATTTGGATATATTAACAAAGTTGAAGTGGTAATTTGGCCACCGTAACGATTACAAAAGCTGACGTTTCGAGCATTAGCCCTTCGTCGGAGCGAATAGAGGAATTGCGGGTTGTGTGTGCTTTTAAAGGCAGAAAATGGAGCTACGTTATTGGTGGGAACATGGCAACGAGAAAAACAAGAATAAATTAGTGGAATGAAAAGCGTTTGTTGATCCCTGTGGGATTTAGACTGCTGGTTTGAAAGATTCATCTTTTGTAATCGTTACGGTGGCCAATTTACCACTTCAACTTTGTTGATATATCCAAATTATTTGGTTGTGAAAAGTGTTTGAGAAGACCTTTCCACATGTAATATGTCCTGTTCACAGTAGTTGCACAACATTTACTACTAACCACAAGAGTGTTGTGTAATGTCATTCTCCGAGACTTTTCTTGGATGTATCTTTGTCTGAACTCAACCATCTCCATTTCTGTCTTGAGAAGCTTATGTTGGAGGCCTGAATATGAAAGTTCAAACAAGGTCAATTTTTCACACACACAATAAAAATCAAGCAAAGGACATGTAAAGACAGGGCTATGTCAAGAAAATTGAGCACTCTACACTGACCTGCTGGGCATGTAATTATACTTGAAAAAAAATCCTTGAAATTTTTAGAGTCTAGGATAACAATTAAGCTGCAAATAGTAATTAAATGTACACGGTACCTTCCATATTGGACATTTTCATTGAGCCAAACTGATCAGTTAGTTTTGCAGTCTTGTCCATTTCTTGTGAAAGTAATTCTGGAAGACTCTTCACTTTCCTTTTCAGATCATGAAGCTCCAACTTCACTTCCTAAAAAAGAATGCCAATAGATATAAAAATTTTCTTTGAAAAGTCATGTTGGAAAGACGATCAATTTGATTGTGACATTTCTTAACTGAATTGCCTTCTTTGCTGGAGTGTAAATTGGTACCAGCCAGCTATTAGGGAGACCTGACAAAAGGCTGAAATGAGGGCTTAGGGGCAGGACTCTGGGGAAGGGGGGGTGGGGTTACTTGCCCACATTGGACTAAAATCCAAACACACAGGAAGAACAATTTTAGGAAATCTCTTTACTGCCCACCATCTGACAATTCTTGATGTTGGCCATAATCCCTTCATAGATTTTTTTTAAAATTCTCATCAACTTATTGCTTGATATGAGGGTCTACATAGGGTTAACCAATAGCTGTAAAATAGTAAATAAAAATTACTGTTAGCCATAAAAATTGAACAATTTTAACCATTGGGCTTAAATTTTGACAAATTTTTAACTGTTAGGCATAAAATATAATCAACGGTACCATAATTTTTTTCAGTCTAAGTCAGTCATTTTGAAAGTGTCAACAAAATAGACTGTTATGTCTTGTCTTGTCTCACGCTAATGGCTTATGTGTTTATGACTGTTACACTTTTTATTCTGACTGGTACCCAAAGGAAAGAAACTTTGCTCAGGCTCCACAGTCATATTCTGCAAACCAGAAGTGTTGCAAGAGATGCATTGACAGACAGCTGTCTATTTTTAGGATAGTTGCTTTCTTCTTTCAGTGTGCTCATGATAATGGTTTGAAAGGAATAGAAGTTAGTTCGTATCAAGCTGCAGGAAAGAGGCCAATCCAAAGTAAGATGTGAGGACATAAATTGGAAAGGATCAAGCACTGCTGCATGTCATCATTTAAAAAAATGTTTTATAAATTTTCTCAGTCTGAACTACCAAACCAAGAAGTTGGGTATGGGGTCATTTGATGTGAAACCATACTACCTTGCAAAAGTCAGTGGGAAAACAGAAAACAATGCAATTTCAGCACAACAGCAACTCGATTTAGAATTACCCTTCTTGCTTCACTCTGATGGTGAAAGTGAGCTGAAGGATAAGTGGTCTAAGTAGTGACTTCAATGCTAAAATAGCCTAGATGTAGTTATTTTATATTTCTTATTTCAACTCAACTGCGCGTGCATGCTACCAGGCAGTACACTAAGCCTACCAGTGTTCCCACTCCAGTGGAGGTCTTGGTTACTCGAAGAGTCATTAAATTCTCTTTGGTGGTTAAGCACATCCAGTGGGTAATGTATAGTTATTTCAAGAATATATTTGATTTCTTAAAGCTAGATGGATACTCTTCAACACTGATATGTCCAATTGGCTTAGCATTTTAATATGGTACAAAGTTCAAATTAAACAGAGAAACAGTAAGGTTTACTTCCTCTGATGCAAATTAATGTAGTGATGTGGCTGCTTTTTTGTTATTCACAATTCAAACATATACATCTATACATATATAATGATACTGTTCCTGAAGTAGTAAGTTATTGCACTTTGTATAGTTATGTATTGTTACTACAGTGACTTTCTTTTTTTTTTTCTTCCTGGAATTGACCCAAGATGTAAAGAAACAGTCATAAATGTGTTTTAGATCAATGAAAATTAATCATTAACTTTTGAAAATCATCAAAATTAATTATTAAAATATTACTGTTCACAGTACCAAACAGAAATTAACCGATAGCTGTAAAATGACCTAAATGTTTTACCCTTAGCTGTAAAAGCCATCACCCATTGAGACCCTCTGATATTGTGTTGATATTGTAAGGAAAATGGGAGTTAATGGGAGTTTTGGGGTTAAATTGTTGCTTGACATGTGACAGAAGGTGGGCTGACTTCTGGCAGGATGAACCAAGACTAATAAGCTGTCTTAAAGCTGCAATTATGTATTATTGATTTTGTAATTGTAATTTGTTAGTTTCAATACACAAGTGTGTGCTTACTATTTATCCACCACACGGTGGATAAATAGTAAGACAAATCATTCTGTAATACCTGTAGTTTATCATTGGAGATTCTGAGCGTTTGCAAAGAATTCTTCCTTAAGCTTTTCTCCTCATCAAACAAGCGCCTAAAATGAGTGGACTCATGTCGGCAAGAGCGCACTGACCCTTGACACTGAAGAAAAACAAACGATTACATACAAAATACACATAAGGATGGCTACTAAGGTATAATAAAATTAAGACAGGTAATTTTTGCATAAAGTACAAAATATGAAAAGTAACAGAAGAACAAATGTCTCCTTGACTTGACTAGTAACTGAGTACACAACAGTAGGTCAGCTGGGGCTCAATTACATCAGACGAAGGCAACATAACTTTCATACAGTGTTACCAGTTGCCACAACTCTGTAGTTTTAAATCTCTATATTGGCAGCCTTGAAAAGAACTTGTACAAAACAACGTCCGTCCAAAATGCGAATTTGATTATCGGTAATCAGCACCATTTGTATTGCATGCAGGCCAATATCACACTCTTTGTCCCACAAACACTTCTTAATTTACTTTTCAAAATCATCAATTATGTCTTGATTAATTTGACAAAGATGTGTATTGTTGCAAAGCAAGTAATATTAGAAATGACTTAAATAATTTATGCATCATTACCTTAGTAGCTTGTTAGACGTTTGATCTTTGATTGCATGTGTTGTAAAAGTACATGCATTTCGTATAATACGGTTTTTCCCAAGATGCAACGTCCTTTGTTCGCGTTGTAATTATACGCAGTTCTCGTTTAAAAAAAATTGATTTTTTCATAGGGTGTGTAAGAGTACAAAAAAACTTTCGACCGTTGTGTTGCAGAAGTTGCACATGTACAAAATGCGTAATTTCCATGTCTGTGTGTTTTGCCTCCACTTATTATAATCAGACTTACAGTCAGTTACCTGCGCTAGTTTAAGATAAAGCATGGCATTCTCGGTCTCAAGGGCAACAATTCGCTCCTCTCGTGCCTGTAAAAATAGATTAAAGTTAACAAACGATAGAATAAAGCAAGTTGTACTGACTGCCTCCCTCTGGACTGTGAGGGCCGGTGTTTGCAGCGAAAGTTGTTTACCCTCAACAAATTTTCCAATTTTTGCACACGGTCCTTCAGCTGTTGATCCGTTAGCTCAGGCATTTTACTTTCACTGCAGTTGTCCCCTTCGGCGTTGGTTTATAGTTAGTAACATTTTACCGCTTAAAACACCACTACCAACGCGTTTAATGGGCTTTGACAACCAGAAAATTTGCCTATTGTTTGTTGACGCTCCCGCGTTTTGTTCCGCCAGCTGTTTATTTATGGGATCTTTTGTGTTCGTATAACTACACTGAGGTGTTTAACAACAGAGATGAGGAAAGTCAGTTGAAAATGATTCGGAGCCGTCCGCGGTACTTTGTGAATCAGTACCAGCAATTTTCGGGGACGTTATCCAATGTTGAGTATTTAAGAGATCTCGTGAAAAGAATCTTGCAACTGATCGAAGAAAAAAGTCCTCCTCAGAGGGCAAGCCGAGATGGCGGTGTTTATGTAGGAGCAGCTGGTATAGGATATGCCTTCCTCTCTGTAGCTGAGTGTACAGAGTTTTCTAACATTCGTGATCAATGCTTTGGAAAATCCCTGGAGTACATGAAGGTCTGTTTGCAAAGTCTGAGCTCGGAAAGTTGTCGCAGATACGTGCCAGATATTTTACTCCCACGTTCTGAGTGAGGCTGCTCGTCTACTTTGACAAGAACTGAAGCGAAAAAGGACAGATTCCCCACCAGACCAAAACTTCTCAGTATCCAAAGTTTTGATTGCGTGCTTTACATCTAATAATCCACAATCTAACCATCGATCAAACAGTAAATCGATCTTTTTTTCTCTCTCTTTTCTTCAAGGTTAGTCTACAAGAGGTATCGAGAACATCTCCTTATGATGATGGTATTGGGGCATCATTTCTCTTGGGGCATGCTGGGATTTATGCAGTATCAGCACTGGTCTTCAATACCTTGGGTTTGTATTAGCTATATGAAAACAAAGTATTTACTATATTAAGATGATTAAGTAAATACACAATTTACAAAACACTGTCTTCATTGTTTCTTGGAAGAGAAGAAGAAGTGGCAGCAAGGCCACTATATTGCCATGGCTTCTTGCCTTTATTTCTCAGTATGACCCCTGCACTTGGTTAAAAAGAAGTTATTATTCTTGCAGGATATCAGCAAGAAGCAGAACAGTGTGTTCAGAATTATCTGGAGATGGCTAAAATCTGCCAGCCACTGAATTTCTTTCGTCCAGGTTCTGATGAACTGTTTGTTGGTAGAGCCGGTTACTTATGTGGGTCACTTCTCTTGAACAAAAAGCTTGGTAGGACTGTGGTACCTCCAGAAGTCACCAGACCCTTGTTTGATGCCATCATAGAGTCAGGTCGACAGTATTCACAGAGTCACCATTCACAAAGCCCACTTATGTACTCATACTACAGAACAGAGTACTTAGGTAATGCTGAAGTATTGACAGAAATAACAATTGCTTTATTGGATAACATTAAGGAGGGTTTGATTCAAGGGGGAGGCTACACATGGGAACAGGTGTCAAATATGATAGATGGGTGTCATATAGCAGCTGATCGGTAATCCTCTTTGCTAGCATCCAGTTGGGTTTAATGTAGCCTTTTCCAGGCATTCAGCCAGTAAAATGGAGCAAAATAGCAAACTGGGATAGTGGTGGAAGAGTGATTTAAAAAGCAAGGGAGGTTTGGGTTCATAAGGCGACCCAACCCAAACCCCTTCATTTTTTTACTCATCTGCTAATTTAGCACCATTTACAATTGGGTTTTGATTTACTAAGGGACAGACCATGCAGTAATGAGAAATATTGAAAAAAATTATTTGCAGGGTCTGAAAATTAAGACAAAATACGGTAAATTGTTTGCAAATGTGATAGGTAAAAATAAATGTTTGTAGAGAAGTTGAGTAAGATATTAAAAAATATTATTACCAAAACTGAAATAAAAGAAATAAAGTAACAAACTGAAGCATTCGTATAAGATTAACACAATTTGGGCTCTAAGAAGTTGGTCAATCTGCATGAAGCAAATAACGAATCTGAAAATGGCTGAATATTTCTTGAAAAAAATGGGAATTTGTTGTGTTGTATGCCCTTCATTTGTGTCAGTAGCTGCTAAAAACTTTTAAAAGGTGAGTGGGGTATATATCAACAAAATGAGTGGCTATAGCACTATTGATTAAGTTCTTTATAAAAAAAATAGTTCAATAAGGCAATGTTAATGTTTAGCACAAGTAAAAGGAACACTGAAAAAAAATGGAAAAAAAATTGTTGCAAAGATGATGTTGGAAGAAAATGTTTGTGGAGACATATATGTTTAAAAAGAATATTTACACAAGAAAATTTCTCATGCCCCCCTCCAGAAAATAATGGTCTGTCTCTAACTGACTGCCTGGAACAAACTAGGTATGATGTTATGTGGTGATAGTGATAACAGAACAACTACTTGCAGCAATTAATGCTGAAGTACGAGTTGTTTTACAACACTGTGCGGGGGACTTTACCAGACTGCAAGTAGCAGTTTACAATCAATAAAGGTGAATCTAACAGATGCCCCCTTCCCCCAATTCCCAGTAAACAGGCCAGACCACATCACAGTAATCTCATGAGTAGGCTCTTCAGTAACGTCCTTTGCCTAACCAAATTAACTAATTAATAGATGCACTGAGGAGCTGGGACCTACAGTTTATTC